GCGCATTGGGGGCATGTTGGAGCCTCTTGGAGGCCTCTTCGGACCTATTGAACCAATTGGACACTCCTCTTGGGCTAGGTGTTCCTCTGAGGCCGCTTGGAGTTCCTCCAGTGGTCCTTTTGGGCCAGATTTGGGCCTCGGGGGGGGCCCTCTAGAGCCGACCAGGGGCCCTCCTGGGGCTTTCAGTGGGCCCCTAGGCTCTCGAGGACCGCAGGTGGACTGGTCTACGACCGACGCGCGATGGAAGCGAAGAGCGGGGCATCACACCAGCATGCCTCTGCTGTGTGCGCGTCGACCCGCCAGGGGCGACGCACGCGCTCAGTGGCGGGAGCTTCCTGGCCATACCGTCCGGGTAAGGAGATATTATAAGATATTCGTGTTGCGTGTTCAATTCAAACGTGCGCTTTGGAGGGCGATGGTACTGGCACGAGCAATTCAATTCAGTTCAGACGGGCGCATAGTACTAGTGTCTTCCTCTGCGTTCCACTGATTTGGCACGGCGAAGGAAGGACCCCGTCCAGTGCAGCTGCGGGCAACGCAGGGCGCAGGGCATGGCTGTCCCATCAAGCCTGGCGCGCCGCGACGGGGTCGGAGATCCTGAGAAAGACACGGCTGGGGGCAGCGAGAGGCATGCAGGGTGTGCGAAGTGGGCGCGGGGACGCCATGTGGACACCCCCGATGGGACCCCCTGGGTAGTCGAACGCCAGACTGTCAGATTGGATTGGGCCCCAAGGGCCAATCTGGCCCGGCCAAACTGGATGAGTTGGGTTATTCGCCAGACTGGATTCGCGTTGGCTCCCTCGCCAGATTGCCCCCGTTTGCCAGATTGGGCCTGCCAGATTGGCGCCAGATTGGCTTCGACTACCCAGACCCCAGAAAGCAGAGGTTCCGAACAAAACGGAAAGATCGGCTTGGCCGCTCTCAGCATGTGGGGGCCCTCGAAGGCTTCCAGGAGCGCGAAACAGCCATTCAGGACGAATAAAAAACGCCCCAAAGAAGTGGTCCAGACCTCTGGGCTCGCGCGTGGGAAACAATTGGAGCGCCGGATGTCTGGGCCATGAGGGCGTGCCGAAGCGGGCAGCCGCGTGGACACCCCTTTGTGGGGCCGTAGGTAGAGCTCCCCATGGTGGCAGGAACCAATGTGCGCGGGGGACGCCATGTGGACACCACCATTTGGGCAGGGAGTGCGTGGGGTGTGCCCGGAAGCGTCGTGGTGCCGTCGGTGAAGCTCCCTACGGACGCGTGAACGGTTTGCCGAAATATGCGCGGGGACGAAATGTGCACCCCTACTGGGGCCATAGGTGGAACCCCAATATGGAGCAGGAGACGCGTGAGAGGAGTGCCGAAATGGGCGCGGGGACGCCACATGGACACCCTTCCTGGGGCCATTCGTGCAGTTCCCTATGGTGGCAAGGAGCCCGTGAAGGGGATGGAGAAGTTTGCGCAGGGACGGACGCCATGTGCACACCCCGACTGGGGCCATAGGTGGAACTACGCAATTGGGGGCAAGGAGTCCGTGAGAGGGGATTCCGAAATTTGCTCGGGGACACCATTTGCACACCCCGACTGGAGCCATCGGTGAAGCTTTCTTTGAGGGCAGGAGGCATGGGGAGGCAGAGACGGACATGCGAAGACGGATGAGGAGAGGAGTTGATATGGGAGGAGGTGAGGCGGACTGAAAATGAGGGCTTTGCAGATGGAAAGTGAGGGCCCAACACACAGGACAGTTTGGACAAACATGAGGAGGGGGAGAAGTTGAGAAAAGAGGGAAGGGGAAAACACACAGGCGGCTGGGAAAAATCCGAGTAAGGACAAGTCAATCAAGGCTGTTGGCCTGTCGAGGCCTTCCCAGAAAGCGTCTTCTGGTTGTCTTGGAGCCGCTTGGAGGCCTTTTGGGACCCACGAGGCGCTTCACAGGGGGAGGCAATGCTGAACTATATTGGAGGCTTCGGTGGCCTTCCTGGGCCGCCTTGGAAGCCTGGGCGAGATTAGGAGAGCCCCCCCAGGGAGGCGTGGGTGGGGCCGCTGAGGAGGCCCCTGGGGGAGGGGCGACGCATGTGGCAGCACTTGGCAGTCCACCAAGCCGAAACGTGCCAGGGGGCGCGGTGGCGGATCTGGCGTACCAGATGAAGTACGACTCGATCCACGGCAGGTACGACGGCACTGTCGAGGTCGACGGGGATTCCCTGGTGATCGATGGCCAGAAGGTGGCGCTGTCGCACACCCGTGATCCGGCAGAGATCCCTTTCAAGGAGCACGGTGCAGACTACGTCTGTGAGTCCACTGGCGTGTTCCTGACCGATGAGAAGATCCAGCCGCACCTCAAGGCGGGCGCGAAGAAGGTCGTGTTCTCGGCCCCAGCCAAGGACGACAGCCACACTATAGTGATGGGCGTGAACCAGGACACCTACAAGAGCGACATGAATTGCGTGTCGTGCGCTTCGTGCACCACCAACGGCCTTGCTCCCATGGTGAAGGCTGTCAACGACGCGTTCGGCATCAAGCGGGGCCTGATGACCACCATCCACGCCATGACTGCGTCTCAGCCAACCGTGGACGGGGCGTCGAAGAAGGACTGGCGTGGTGGTCGCGCGGCGTCCGGCAACATTATCCCCTCCTCGACCGGGGCGGCCAAGGCGGTGGCCAAGGTCGTGCCAGAGGTGGCGGGCAAGCTCACGGGCATGGCCTTCCGCGTGCCCACCATCGACGTGTCGGTCGTGGACCTCACCTGTGAGTTGGAGAAGGCGACGACCTACGAGGAGATCTGCGCCGAGATCAAGAGGCGCTCCGAGGGCGACATGAAGGGATTCTTGGGCTACTGCGACGAGGCTCTCGTGTCCACCGACTTCGAGACGTGCCCCATCTCCAGCACCTTCGATTCCAAGGCGGGCATCATGCTGGACCCCACGTTCGTGAAGCTCGTGGCCTGGTACGACAACGAGTGGGGCTATTCGTGCCGTGTCGTTGACCTGATCAAGCACATGGCCAAGGTCGACGGGGCGTAGGATGTAGGCTGGTGCCCGTCGCATCCTCACTGTGCAGTCGCTGCCCCATCGCTTTTCGCTGTTTCTCTGTTGGCAGCAGCGGCCGAACGCGGCCGTGCGAGTCGACACCCTCGGAGCTACGGAGGAGTGCGCCGAGAAAATAGACGCACAGGCACACGTGATGGGCGTGATTGGGTGCCGTTTGGCACCCCTGCATCCTCTGCTTGAACCCGCTCCCCCCTTGCCACACCCTCCCCCTCCCGTGGGAGCGGGGGGCGCGCAGTGTAAGGGCCTCGCGCATCCTTCTCTCGAGGGCTGCGCCCCCTCGCACGCCGGCCCCCGGCCGAGCCGTCCTGGGCTGGTGTCGGGGCCTCGCGGAGCCAAGCGCGGGGCATCTCGCGAGGCAGTCTGGGGAGCTCGGGGCAGCACGGGGGGATCCGCAGGGGAGGGGCACGGGCCAACGGGGGTGCTCCTCAGGTTCGCTTTCCTCTGTGCTTCGCCGTCTTGCCTCGAGTGTTTTTTTTTGTGGACCAGGCCTGTACGACTCGTAGCCTCGTCAGAGCCCCCTTGGCCGTTGACGTCACAGCGCTGTGCGCCTCCGCGAGCTGCGTCGTCGGCGTCCGGCCGCGGCGGCCCGGGGCCCTTCGCCGGCTCTCCGCGCCTCCACCTCTCAGCCGCGTGTCGAGAGCGGCGCGAGCTCCTCCTCCTCCTCCTCCTCCTCCTCCTCCTCCTCCTCCTCCTCCTCCCGATCCTCCTCCTCCTCCTCCCGAACCTCCCGATCCTCCTCCTCCTCTCCTCCTCCTCTCTCCTCCTCCTCCTCCTCCTCCTCCTCCTCCTCCTCCTCCTCCTCGGGACTCAACACCAGCGCCGCGTGCTCCCTCGTTGCGGCTGGCGTCGTGGGTGTGGCCGCGAGCCGCCGCCGCTCCTCCGCGAAGGTGGCCAGGGAGGCCGTCGGCGTCGGCATCAACGGTTTCGGGCGCATCGGTCGCCAGGTGGCCCGCACCGTCAGGAAGGACCCAGAGACGGACCTCAAGCTGGTGAACGCGAGCTACGATGCGGAGTATCCGGGGTGCATACGGCACATCCGCTACCGTGCCAGCGAAGCAATTTGTATGGCGATCCTTCGAGCATCGCCCAGAAGTCCGTCCTGTGTGCCACCTCGTCTCTCTCTCGAGCTCTAAGCCACGCGTGCCATTCAAGACCATCTATGAGGCGGCCGGGGCCGCCAGCGCACCGGCACATTTCGCATACATTCCTTGTCCATTCGGTCTGAGCCGAAGAGGAGGAAGAGGAGGAGGAGGAATATGAGGACGAGGTGGGAGGAGGAGGAGCAGGAGGAAGACGAGGAGGAGTTGGAGTCGGAGGTGGAGATGGAGGAGGAGGATGAATATTGGCATCATCATGACGCAATGACAGGAGGGGGACGAGGAAGATAACAAAACACTGCAGGGAAACAGTGGTGATCCACAGGAGAAGGCAGATGCGTTTGCAGCAGCTGGCGGTCAAACAGGAGGAGGGGGAGGAGGAGGAGGAGGAGGAGGAGGAGAAGGAGGAGGAAGAGGAGTTGGAGGAGGAGGGGGAGGAGGGGGAGGAGGGGGAGGAGGAAGAGGAGGAGGAGGAAGAGGAGGAGGAGGAGGAGGAAGAGGAGGAGGAGAAGGAGGAGGAGCGGCAGCATGAGCATGAGCAGGAGCAGGAGCAGGAGCAGGAGCAGGAGGAGGAGCAGGAGGAGGAGGAGGAGCAGCAGCAGCAGCAGCAGCAGCAGCGGAAGGATGCGGAGCAGCGGCAGGGGGAGGAATTGCAGGAGGAGGAATGCAGTCAAGACGCTGCAGTGAGGAGCGCGTTGGGCTCAGGATGAGATTGGGTTTTGCCACCTGTCTGCCCAGGTCCGCCCTGGCCAGGAAAGCCCGTTCCACGTCCTGCAGCGTCTTGAGGGCGCGAGTTGGAGGGGCCAGGAAGTGGTGGAGGAGGAGGGGGAGGAGCAGGAGGAGCTGCCGCAGCAGCCTTGGCGCCTGGCAGGCGGGCGCCGTGGAGCGGCTGACGGCCATGGCGTCCCAGACACCCTTCGTGTTGCCCCGGCTCGAGAAGCTCGTGGCGCTGTTCAAGGAGCCACGCTGCGGCGCCTGGGAGGAGGGCGGAATCAGGTATGCACAGGGCGAGGATATATTGAGACCAGATTTGTTGAGAGAGTTCCCGAGACACACAAGACGTCGTTTGCGGAGCGCTGCGAGCGCATTCGTATGAGCAGCCGAGAGGGCAGTCGGAGGCGCGAGGGACTCGAGGGAAACTTTGGCGCTCCATGTAATCGTTGAGGGCGGTTTGGGAACCCTGGTTTGTGCGGGCAACGGCAGCGGGGATGCGGCTTGCACACGGAAGCGCAGTGGATTCGCGTTTCAGGCGCGGCCGTGTCCAGGGTTGGGGGCAAAGCTCGCGGTCGAGGCCATCGCCGCCCATGGTTTCCGCGCGACGACATGCTGGGCTCCATTGCAGTCTGGTTGCAGAGAACCTCAGAAGAGGGAGCCGGGGTGCGCCAAATCTCGGTGGCCGGTTGTTTCTCAGAGTTCCAGCAGGCTCAGGGACTGTTTGTGCTTACGAATGTCTGAGGCGCGGTTGGCGTTTCAGAGTTTCCGAGAGTTTCGGGCAAATTTGGACGCGAAGCTTTGATGCGCCACGGTTCTTGCATCTGGTCATTTTGAAACTCCGCCTTCGGGTGGTCCCAGACTCCCCGGTTTCATATTGTCAGCCAGAGGCAGGCGAGTGGTTGGTGCCTCGCCCGATGCATTCGGAGCGACGGACTCGGTTCCTAAGGCCCGGTAGGCCCGCGGGCCGTTCGCGGAGTTGCCGACGCCTCCGCGCGAGCCCCCAGTGGCGCTGCCACGGGTGGCAAGGCGAGCGGCGAGGTTTCATCTCGGCCACGGCATGTCTCCTGTTTCGCGACGCCGACTGCGCCCAAGGTGTAGCAAGTTCCTCGGCGGCGCCACCCGTGGGCTCGAAAAACGCATCTGGACATCCGTGCCAATTTCTGTGACCATCCCAGCTTCGACTTGCGGGGGGAGAGGAAGGAAAGGGAGGAGGAGGCGGAGGAAAATGAGGAGGCGGAGGAGGAGGAGGAGGAGAGAGAGGAGGAGAGGGGAGCAGAGAGGATTAGAGAGGGGGGAGAGAGGAGGAGAGAGGAGGAGGAGGAGGAGGAGGAGGAGGAGGAGGAGGAGAAGGAGGACCAGGAGGACCAGGAGGACGAGGTGGACGAGGAGGACAAACAACAACGAGGAGGACGAGGCGGAGGAGGAGGACGAGGAGGAGGAAGAAGAGGAGGAGGAGGAGTAAGAGGAGGGGGAGGAGGAACGATCAATAATCATTTTGGCTCAAGTCGAAACCGTGGGGCCCTGGCGGCTTCAAGCTGGAAGCAGGCGGGTGGTTGGTCCGAGCTTTGTCGGGTGCAATATTCGTAGCCCCGTTGTCCGAACCTTCCATGGCCCAGAGGGTTTCCCGTTCTGGCACACGTTCGTTCTCTTCCGCTGTCCTTTCCAGGCAGTCGTGCTGCGATGTGCCCTGATGGTCATGCAGATGGACACTCAGATGGCCAAGGACATCGAGAACATGGCGCCTTCCCCGCAGTCCCAGGGTGCGGCCCCGTCTGAAGTAGTGGTTCCTGCTCGAGGTGCAGATGCGATGCTGACCCCCCCCCTCCTCGCGAAACCTGGTCCTCCACCTTCCCCCGACGGTGCCGAGTTCGATATCGCCCTCCCAACCGTGCCATCCTGCAGGGATCCATCGAGTACCTCCGCTCCGAGCTGTTCGCCCAGTTCTCGAACAGAACGAAGTCCTTCAACGCGAGTTTCGATGATCTGTTTGGGAGTGTGCAAAGCACCTGTGCCACGATGGCTTCGCAGGTCGGACAGCGTCTCAATGGTGCCGAACAAAGTGGGCATGCCAAGCAGTTAGCAACCTTGCAGGATTTGGTCAATAATCTCAAACATGAGTTCCACATCGGCAAGGCAACCTCCAGCGAACCGCCGCCGAGCTTCCCGACTATATCCCCCGATTCATTGCTCAACCGTGCGACCGGCGTATCCTTCATTGTGGTCCGCTGCATGAACAGTTCAGTCCGCCCGTCTTCAAGTTTGACATGTTTTTTCTTGCCGCGTCGTATCAACGTCGCGGAGGGCGAATGGGCGCTGCAAGGAAACCCGACGACAAGCGCTTCACTGCCAAGCTCATGGGCTGTTCGCACTTCGCCGCTCGCCGGGTACAGCACGGATGCCTTCAGCCTCTTGCGCCCGCAGTGCCCAGGTGAGGAATGGATGCGATATCTTGCCCTGGAAGTTGTCAGGCGCTCGGTCAGAGATGTTCGCCGGGGCCGCCAGAAACCCTTGTCTCATCAAACTCGAGATCGCTCTCTCAATGCTGCCGCGCGTTTTTCCGGGAGCCGCTCTCAGGGCAACCGCAGTTTTGTGGACAAGCTGCGCGGCTCAAAGCAAATGATTTGCGCCGGCTGGTGGGCGTCGCCATGCAGGCTGACAAAGACGCAGTGGAGGCGCGCTCAGCTGCAGCGAACTTGGCACTCGCAGACATGTCGCGGGCGGAGCTCGGGGGACCCCTGGCCGGGGCCATCCAGGAGGGCTGTCAAACCCAGCGGTCTTCTCGGTACCTCTGTTTGCTTTTTGGAGCGGCTTTGCGAAAGCTCAGACGCCGATGGGCCGCTTCATCATCGGACTTGCGCGCGAGCAGTTCAGATCAAGCATCTCCGTCGCCTGCCCCAAACTGGGGCAATCGCGGTCGCGCAGGAAGCCCACGGATCGACAGCAAGGGTGCAATATTTTCTGCGCCACGTTGATTTCCCCGTCGGTTTGACTACCGCCTTCCTCCCAACTGCGCGCGGCGCAAATGATGCACTCCGGCCGCGCTGCGCAGGGGGCCTGGTCACTTCCCATCCGGAGTTGAAACCAAGCAGCGTGCTGGAGCGGCGGTTCGGCAGTGCGTCTCCCCTCGTCTCGTCCTCTCGTCTCGTGCTGGGTCGAGTTCTGAACGTGTGCATCGGTTCTCTGGGTGGCTCCTCGTGGGTTTCGCACTATCTCATATTCAAAGACAGTGTACCTCGTATTCAACGTTGTCACGTTTGTCAGAATATAATCGCATATCTACTTGGTGCCAGTCGAGAGCGGCAGAGTAAGTTGGTCGTCTGATGGGGTTTCAACTCGGGCGCGCATCCACTCGTGCCGCCCGATTCTAGCAAGGACCAGTTCGTTGCTCTGTTTCCGCCTCTTATCCCTGGTGCTTACGAGTGGCGAGAGATGTCTCGTGAGTTTGTGGCATTCCAGCCGGAGGCGCTATCGCATTATCATGCAGGGTCAAACATCAATCCCGCCTAGATCGCATATTACGTTCTGCTCGTGGGCGAGGCCTTCCCCAGGCGGTCGCGACTGGGGAGGCGGCGGGGATTCCAGAAAGCCTCGCGCTGAACAGAAAACCGATCATGTAGCAGCGCGCGCACTTCCAGTTGCTGTCCGTTGGCCGTCTCAGGGCGCCCGCCCCGCGCCCGCGAGATCTTTCGTTCGCGAGAGAGCGTTGGTGCATGCTATGATGGTTGGTCAATGCTATGAGAATTTGCGGCTGCTGAACATCAGCGTCTTGGCGCGCCCCTGAAGCGCGCGCACTGCGCGACGCCCGTGATCAGAGAGGCGCGACGCGCATCTTTTGCGAGCCGCAGTCCTTCGACGCCAGAATCATCGCGATCCGCTGCGCCCCGCGCCCCCGCGCGCCCCTCGGCAACGTGCGCGTCGCGCCTCGCGCCCGTGAACAGATGGTCGTCAACGCGGCTTCGGGCGCAGTAGCTAGATCTCGCGTCGCCGCTGAGCTCTGCGGCGTTGTCATATGCGCCGCGCGCAGAAGACCCCCGGCGCCGCCGCCGGCGCGTCAAGTCGAGTCTTGGCGCTGTTGGGGGACGCGATGTCTCGGGCTCAGCTTCGGAAGCGGTTGGTGCACATGGTGGCGGTTGCCAGAAGTTCTGCCCCGCCGGTAAATACGTCTCCCCAGCTTGGCTTCCGGCCCGCGGCCAGGTCTTGCAGTGGGGCGCCCGGGCCCGCAAAGCTCTCGCTGCCCATTGGGCCCTGGTTTGAAATGGTTCCCTGGGGGAGCGATTCGACGCGGCGAATGCCCTCGCGCGCGTGCAGGAGTTCGCCCCCGAGGTCTCGAGCCTGTGTCTGCGCTGGCTGATGCCGGTGCTCGACGTCTTTGCTCCTCCTCCTCCACTATGGTGCGTCTACCGGGTCATCTGCGAGAATGCCTATTGCAGGGCCAAATTGGGTGCAGTGCATCGCTCACTTCGCGCACGCCATCGCGGCTGGGGTCATCCAGGGGTGCCAAGCCTAAGGTTTGCTGTCTAGTCTTTCGCCTGATCCTTTCCCTTGAGAGTCTCGCGCTGTCGTCGACGGCTCGGACCGCGGATGCGCCCGCGCGCGCCGACGTCATCGGCGCGCCTTTCAGGTGAATCTCGACCCCGATCGTAGTCGCGACTGTTTCTCGCAAGACGACGGTGCTTGCGCACCTGGGCCTGAAGGGTCCGAAGTGCAGCGTTGTCCCGGTCGCGGGGCGCTCATCGAGGTTGCTTGGAGATAGGTCATCCACGCGAATCTCTCGCAAGCTCAAATACTTTGGCGTGTTTTTGAGCCCTGACGCAGTCCTGAAAATTCCGCGGGGCGTTAGATCAGGGGTCAGTAACCTCTTTCATTTGGAAACGTTGATGATGAACCATCGAATTACGCACGGTCATCCACCCATCCGTTCGTCCATCTACCCGTCCATCCATGTATCCATTGTGCACCGCAGCAATAATCTATCCGCCAATGGATGCCATCCTTCTAGTTTCCCATCCACTCGTCCAGCCAATCACGATCAACACCAATATGGAATTGCAATGCTCAGGATGGCCATGACATGCTAGTGTCAGATCAGGGGGAGGAGGAGGAGGACGACGAGGAAGAGTTGGAAAAGGAGGAGGTGGATGGGGAGGAGGAGGAGGAGGAGGAGGCGGAGGCGGAGGCGGAGGCGGAGGACGAGGAGGAGGAGGAGTATAATGAGGATGAGGATGAGGTGGATGAGGAGTTGGG